CCCCCCCCCCCGGACACACCCGAACAGCCGGACACGCCCCACGAAGGGAGGCCCCTGGTTGGGCCTGTGCGAGGTCGCGGGCCAGCCCCACCCTGGGGGATTGCCTTTCCTCTGGGCGTGTATGCTGGGCCCGCCCGCCGGTGGAACCATGCCCCAAGGCACCGGCGTCTCATCATCTCTCTGGTCAAAGGGATCATTTTTTCCAGAAGACCCCTCCCCCGTCCCGGGTCCTCCCGCCATACACGGCCCCCGCACCCACGGTCGCCCAGACCCCAGAGAGGCGGCACGCGGGGACATACACTGCGAAGGTGTGGGTCCCTGGTCTTTTGCCATGCACCGACAAACCAACAGTCCGGAACTCTGACGTGAAAAGGCCATATTTCAAAAGATGCTCCCAACTGACCTTTGTACTCGGAGACCGGAACTCCCGGGCTTTTCTCCCGCGACACACGAACAAACTGGCATCGACTACGTTCATGTAAACTTTTTTGACCCGAGAATCATTGATGTTTATTTGAGCCTTTTTATTTTTGAAATAAAACAAACTTGAGCACGATGTGGCAGGATCAAATTTCGCTTTCGGGTATGAAGCACGATAATACCATTCCGCCGGATACGGATATGTGACAAGATCAATGTTTTTTGACTGTCTATTTTGCCTCTGTGCTTGACTCTCGCACACACACACACACACGGCACAGAGGGAAACACGGCATGCGTGTTTGCACATAAGGGGGCTGGGGATGATCTTCCCATCCCCCTCCCCCCTCTGCCGCCTGGCACGCTTGATCGGCACCATGGGCGGGGAGGGCAAGAAAGGCATACGCCCACATTTCCCCTCGCTCGTCTCCCACCCATCGGGTGGGTGTCATACAAACGGCGGAGCCGGGCCACCGCGAGCGACCTGGTGCCCCACGGCGAGGAGAGGCAAGGCAACACGCACGCCCATGTGCGCAGAGGCGTGCATGGGCTGCTCCCTCAGCGGACCTTCAGATTCTTGACCATCTTCTTCTGCTCCTTCTTCTTCAGCTTGTTCTCCAGCTTCTCCAGTGCATCGCCCCCCTGGGACTTGGCCTGCTCCAGCTGGGCGTCGATGCGCTCCTGACGCCGGGCTTGGGATTGCTGGGTGTCGGCACGGGGAGCGCACGCCGAAGGGTGGGAGGATGGAAGGGGGGGGGGGGTCGTCAATGTCACCGAAGGGGTGGGAATCGCAACACAGACACAGTTGGACAGGGCGGCAACCCCCGGGGCCATATTCCTCGTACCTCCTGGCGCTCCTTGTGGAGGAGACCGTCCGTGACGGCGGTGCGCTTCTTGGCGAGCTGCGAGACAACATTAGCCGGGAGGTCCATGGTGGCAATGCGGTCCACCAGATAGATGGCCAGCTCGCCGGCCGTGGTGGCCGCCTTGGTAATGGCCTCGGCCTCGGACTGGCCGGCACGCAGCTCGGGGATCAGGTTCATGACCATGGTCACCTGCAGGCGCGGGGGAGTGCCCTTGGGCATGGCGTCAAAGGCCACCGACGGCTGGTCCGAGATGTGCAGCGACACCAGGGCCCCATCACGCAGCAGACCGGCCACTGCGTCAATTACGCCGGCCGGCTCGAAGAGAGCCTCCGCAATGGCGGTCGACTCGCACAGGATGGCCAGATCCTCCAGACCGGCCAGCTTCCGGGAGTTGACCGGGCCGCGCCCGGCGAAGGAGGCCACATCGCCACGATCCTGGCTAAGGGCCGCGAGGCGCTTGGTGTGGCCGGCCAGGAGCACAAACTTCGGCGCCGCCTCGGCGGACACTTGGGCAGTGAAGACCTGTCACGGGCGGGGCAGGGATTAGCGCATGTCCAGGGGGGCGAGCGGGAAGCCTTGGCAACGGGGGCGGGGGTACACACCACTCGGTCATGCGACGCGGCAGTCACCTCATCAGTCAGCAGACCGACGATGTCCATGCGACGCTTCAGCTGGATGCCCACGGCCAGGCTCTCGAAGTGCACGCGACCGGAGGCATAGAACCAGTACTGCGAGGGGCTGTCCTGGATCAAGAGGTGGCCCTTGCCATCGCCGAAGTAGGCGAACTGGTTCTTGAAGGAGGAGAAGAGAGCCTTGGCATAGGTGTGGGCCAGATGCTGGTTGCGGCTGTTGCCGCGAAGGTAAAAGGCCCCGTAGGCGGCCAGGAAGAGAATCAACAGCAGCTCAATGTGGAAGGTCTGCAGGTAGGTAGCGATGGTGGCTGGACACCCGGCGGGTGGGGAGTGTGTGTGTGTGAGTGTGTGTGTGTGTGTGGGGGGGGGGGGGGGGGGGACAGGGACGCGGTGAGTTAGGTGGGACATATGTCCGATACTGGAGAGATGGGGGTGGGGTGGGAGGCGGGAGGAGAGGGCATACCCGAGTCAAAGGCAAGCATGCCACCGGCGGCGGAGGACTGTTCTGAGACCCTGGGGTGGGAGGGGGGATATGTGAGTTAGCAAGGGTGGGCGAAGGCAGGCCAATGGAAGGGCGCGTACTGGGCGTCAGTCATGTTGTGATGAGGGCGGAGCAGGATCCGGCCTGTGGAGCAGTCGGGGGGAGGGGACGGTGGCGGTGGTGGCAAGGGGTGACACAGGGATAGGCACCGGGGTCAGCAAGACAAGAGGTAGAAGGGGGAGGGG